TCCCCATCTACTCCCCCATTCCTGCTTTGTTTTTTTCTCCCCACCATTTCCCCCCCCTTTTTTTTTGTCATTTTAACCCCAGCACCTCCAATCACCCATTTTTCTCATAAATATTTTAATATATACACTGTGAAGTAAGAATATATTAAACAAACCAAATCCTCCCCACCCACAAAAATCCTTTTTTTATTTATATAAAAAAAAATCTTATTAGTGAAAAGAAAATGAAAGGTGAATATGTATAGCCCAAAACTGAAACCTCCAACATGTTCTCCAAACTTCATCACCCTTCCCAACACCAACACCAACACCAACACCAACACCATTTCTCTCATCACTTCCAGCTTTCTCGTGATACATCCGAATCCGACGATACCAGTCGGAGTACTGGTGGACCCACTACTTCAAATCCTGCTCAGAAGCCGGTCGAGGGTCTCACCGCCATCGGAGGTAGCGGTTCGGGAGATGGCGCCAGTATCGAAGTTGTTCGTAGGCCGCGCGGGAGGCCGCCGGGGTCCAAGAACAAGCCCAAGCCGCCGGTGTTTATTACACGCGATTTTGAGCCTCCGATGAGTCCCTACATTCTCGAAATCCCCGGAGGGAACGACGTCGTCGAGGCTATTTCGCGATTCTGCCGGAGGAAAAGCATGGGGATTTGCGTGCTCACCGGGTCCGGCGCCGTCGCTAATGTTACACTCCGCCAGCCCTCAACTACTCCCGGCGCCACCATCACTTTCCATGGCAGATTTGATATTCTCTCTATCTCCGCCACCTTCCTGCCTCCTCAAACGGCGCCGTGTCCTCCCGTTCCTAACATGTTCGCGATATCCCTTGCCGGCCCCCAGGGCCAGATCGTCGGCGGTTCTGTTGCTGGCGCGCTCATCGCTGCAGGGACCGTCTACATCATCGCCGCCAGCTTTAACAACCCTTCTTATCACCGTCTACCGGCGGACGACGAGGCGAGAAACACAGCATCTGGAAGTGGAGGAGAGGGGCAGTCACCTCCTGTTTCGAGCGCTGGTGGTGGGGAGAGTGGACACGTGGCAGCCGGAGGAGCAGGTGGAGAGTCGTGCGGGATGTCGATGTACAGTTGTCATTTGGCGCCTTCTGATGTAATCTGGGCTCCCACTGCCAGACCTCCACCACCTCCACCGCCTTACTGAGTTTGCTTCCTCCATTTCTAAATCTCTGTGAATTAAATGGGTACTTATAAATTTAGATCGATTATCTTTTTCTTCTCGGATTAATTAGTGATCATGTCGACTTTGATGATTGAAAGTTTTTTTTTTTTTTTTAATTTTTTGTTCTTGATTTCGAGTTTTTGATGTCTTCTTTATCACTTCATCTTATGTAGTAGTCTTTCTTCTTCGTTATTCTATATATAAACTGTAGCTTGCAGGAGATGATAAATGAAAGATTAATTATAATTAGCAAAACCGTAGCTTTACGCTATGTTCGCTTAGTCCGTGCTTATTCATGTTTTAATGTTCATGATCTTAAAAAGTTTCCGTTAATAATTAAATGAGGTAACTTTTCTTATCTGTCTGTGTTAATTTCTTTGAAAAACTAAATAAATTGAAAGCAGTTGAAAGGTGTAAAAGAAAGAAAAAGAAATTGAGTTCTGGGTTTTTGGGGATGAGGAAGGGTTAGGGTTATTGTCTCCTTGTCTGTATATGGTGTGCTTTGAAGTTTGGAAAACGATAATCATCATCATGGAGCTTCTGCAACAAAACATAGCGAGCATTCTGCAGAAAACGCTGGAAGCACTGCATCATCACTGGGTGATGATAATGGCGATTCTATTTCGACCCATCATTATCTCTCTCTCTCTCTCTCTCTCTCTCTCTCTCCCCGTAATGATAAAGCTTGTGGCAGAAGAAACGTGGATAGGGTTGTGCGTGAATCTGAACCGAGTTACTTTTTCAGAGTTGCAGAGGACAGAGTAGGGAAAGAAAGAGGAGATAGACGTTGCTTTAACCAATGCATTCTTGAAAGCTCCATTGCCAGTTTCAATACAGAGCTTTTTATTGGGCTGTTCGACGTGGTTTTTTCTTTCTTGCTTTCAATGATCTGATCTCTATCTGTACTTTACTTTGTCTCTTTCTCTTTAAATTTTTCTCAAGGAAAAAAATTAAATGGAAACTAATGATGGAAAAAAAATTTAGGTTGGGAGAGACGTGAAAATCCCCCAGGGAAAAATCCCCTTTTTTTCTATTTCCCCTCCCCGGGGAATTATTTTCTGATTCTTCTGTTTTTCGTTCTTAATTTACATTATCATTATCATAATCATTATTATGATTGTTAATTAAGTAATCGATTATGAATTTGGTCTTATTACAATATAAATTTGTTATTTTTTTTATAAGAGTTAATTGTTTTATTATAGTTAAAATTCTGTTATTCGTAATTCTTTTAAGTAATTTAATGCTGTTGTGATTATAATATTTTAGAAATAAATATATTTTTTTAAAAAATTAATAATTATCATAAAATATTGAATTATTTTACGAAATTTCAATTATGAGAGAGATATTATGCACAATTTAGAAACGCAAAGTTATTTTTTAAATATTATAAAATAAATTTATAATAAATATTAAATTTTAATATCTGATTATTTATAATTTTACTTATATAATATTTAATTATGAGAAAATACTAAAATGTATATTTTATTAAATATATACAATAATAATAATAATATATTGAGGGATTGATAATTAAGAGGCAGAAATGAGAATGCAAGGGTGGTGGGGGGGTCCCATTCTCATGCCAACTTGCTGTTTGCCCTCTGGTTGGCCGCCATGTTTGGCTATTGACTAATTACCAATTTCCTCCCTTCACATTTTCAATTTATTATTGGATTTTTTTCTTTTTATTTTTTATTTCTAAACTTCACTTTTTTTTTTAGTGCCTAAATATTTTAATTAATATTATTAATGCTGGCACAATGAATTTGTATTTTCACTTATAACAAAATTAAAAGGTTACAAAAATATCAAACTTAATCTGAAATTGATTTAGAAAATAAAATATTATTGTTATTTAAATTTCGTAGTATTTGTGTTATATTTTTATTTTTTTCATTGAAAATAAGTAGGAAGTTAATAATCTTCAACCCATAAGTATTTTATTTTAATAATAATATTTCCAAGAGTGTTATTGCATTTTGAGATTTTATATATATTTTTTAATCATAAAAGTTATCTTACTTAATCAGCTTAACAAATTTTTAATTAAATGGTTTGCGTGTTTTTCCTCTTTATAAAGTGTCATAAATTTGAATTATTTTGTGAATTAATCGGCAGATATAATATTAATTTATATATAAATATTTAAGCAATTAATTAAACAAATTGATTTGAAAATAATGAAGTACATGGTTGTTACATTCTTTAGACTTTTCCCAGATATGGAAAGCCTTAATGATAATGTTAGGAAGGCAATACTTACTAATAATGATTGCGTCAATGATGGTTTAAACATAACAAAATCTAAAGTGTCATTGATGATAATACTAATAATAATATAAACATGTAAAATTGATATACGTTTAACATGTACACGTCAACAAAAGACCTACAAAGCCAACTTATGAGTTTTATTAACCCTTTTTTTTTTTTTTTTTTCAAATTTGACAAAGAATAAATAAGCTGACAATCTACAATGACTTTTCATAAAAATGCATAAATAATATTATTAAAATTATATATTATATATAAAAATTAAGAGTTATATGTACTGTGATTAAAGGGTCAAATTATATATAAAAGAATAATTTTTTTACATATATATATTGTAGTTTGAGGAACGGACGTGGGGTAGACCATAGATTTTTTCATACCAAACAAATTAGTGAATTGTGCATGAACATGGACACAAACCAAGTGGTATGATGGATTGTGTAACTATACACGTATGTATGTATGTATGTATGTATATATATATGTATAGCTATGTGGTTATAAAGCTGATCAAAGTCCCAGAAATTGAGACTGAAATTTGTCCAAAATCAAAACCCAACAAATTTCTCGGCTCATCAAGTTGGTATGGCGCCAAAATAAAGCCACCAATTATGGTTGCTGCAATTTCCGCCGCATTTTCTTGACTATTCAATATATTTCTTTGCCTTCCTATTCACACTTCCCTAAACTTTTCTACATTTTCTGATAATCATGACATATTATATATGAACATGTCTATACACACACGCATATAGTCTCCCTTTTTCACCATATTTGGTAGCGATTACAATGTCTGTAATCATCGAACTTAACCGCCGCAGCTTTTCTTTCCGCCAACTTTTTCTTTCTTCATTATGAAGTTATATAGATATTGTAATAATTCTAACTTTGATTATTAATTAAACGATTGACTTACCTTCCATTTTGTCGGGATTATTAAATTAACTTTATAAGTGAATTTTCTACTTTCAAATAGTTCTTAGTAGTATTAACCCCTAAAATATAACTTAATAAGTTTAAATTTACACTAATACTATATATATTCATTTATAAAAAAAAAAAAACACATGTATATAGATTTTTCACGACAACTGCGGAAAAGGGCAGGTGGTCACGCAAGCGGCAGAGCATGCGTGCCGCTTAGCAATCGAACGCCACCTTTTGGTTCTTCCTTTTCTTGTTTTAGTTCACATTTGCACCCCACCTGTCGACTTATCTTCATTTGTTCTCACACAAGTATGTACACCCAACCCAAGATGGAATTCCAAGAAACTCAAGATTACCGAGATGATTTTAACGTACGGATATGACGGGCACGATATACATACATATGTATGTATATGGATGATGGTATATCTTATGAAACTTATCTTTTTGCATGAAAATTAAATGGAGAGCTCACCTTTCAGGCGAAGCTGTGTGTATATATGCTCTATATATGTCCGTAATATGTTCCAAGAAATCTTCAAACCGCAAGAGGCATCGGGGGATAAGTGATAAAAACATATATACGATCTATATAATGATGTGATAATGAGTCGGAAGCTGAAAGCGACTTGTATACATGTACATATATATGTGATTTGATCTTGGCCGTGCAGCTTGTGAATATATGCACCTTAGGGCTTCATCTCCATATAATTTATATATATATATATACATAGAAGAATAATTATAATTAGTTGTTTCAATAGTATACTTGGGCAGAATTTGTAAATTAATTATTATGATTGATTCATTTCAATAGTATAAATGAAATTATTGTTTATACTACTGCTATATATATGTATATGCTTGTTTGTGGTGGATATGATAGCGCAAAAATCAAGTCAAGCCGGCAAGATCTTCAGGCCCTTTTGGTCTCAAAATGTCGAGTAAAAATTCTGGACATTGGATGCAGTCGTCAGGCATTTAGCTACTTATTTAATTACAATATTAATATTTTTATTTAAAAAAAAAATTAAAATATATATTAATAAATTATGTAATATATATAAATTATAACAAAATACAAATAATCTTCAAATAAAAACATATATAATCGAACTCTTTGTCCCTTATCAAAATCAAAATAAAGATTTAAAGCATGGCTGAACAAACTCTCATAACCATGTCTAGAAAATGGTTAATTTTCAATTTTTGATATATATATATATATATAAAATATCTTGGCCTCTTGGTTTTAATTTTGTTTTTTAAAAATCTGCGGGGGCAGTGCACATGCCATCTTGAAAGTCAGACACGTCCAAAACCGGTAATAAAAGGCGTCGCCGTCTGAGTTCAAAATGGTTTTGGTCAGGACCTTTAATATCACGACCGAAAGTTTCAAATGAATCAGGATGGGTCTACATGCAGGGAAGGGTTGGGAGCATCTAGTCAACAGAAAGTACACGTGTACGGCTGTGATACACTTGACGAATCTTGATGACTATACATATTTTATATATATATATATACATATATAGATAGATGTCTCCACAAAAGTCAACAGCTCTTATCCCGTACATAACGCCATAATAAAAGAAGAAGCTGAAAGACCGAGAGAGAGAGAGAGAGGGCGTGAGTTCAGTTGTCGTGTCTGGCAGCTGTGTTATGGGTGTACAGTACTTGGTGGGTGTTCCTGTCTCTCTGTCTTCCATTTCTTCTTTTTCTACACGTGATTTTTAACTTCTTTTTTACAACGGTTAAACAAAAAAAGAAAGGAGGAGCTTGCACGATGTCCATGTTAATCTCAATTCACTCCTCTTTTTATTCTTTTAAGAATTAAAAACACAAAAAACTTCCTGGGTTTTTTATCATTCCTGTGAATTGGTTGGGATCCACTGGATTAAATTATGGACTTCTGTTAAAAGTATATAAAACCAAAAATTTAGTTTATTAATGTGTTAATAACTAAAACTTAAGTCTTAATTTCTTTCCGAACAACTAAAACATTAATGTATTAAAAAAAAAAACTACAGTGGCTAAATTAATATTAATTTTAACGAAAAAAAATATTTCTGGAACAACTAAATTTCTTTAGTTTGCGTAACTAACTATAGGGAGTTAAAAAGTTCAATTTAGCCCTTTATTCAAAAAAAGAAAAGAAAAGAAAAACCTACACCTGGATCTACTTACATATAAACTTGTACTGGACCTAACCTGTCTAATAAACCTGCTGTTCATTAGATAACAACTCAGACTGGGATAGATTGGGCCCTGACTCTGCTTCTCACTTATGCTTAAGTTTGTAACTTCCTTCTCATGACCCACGAAGCACTAAACATGTTTTACAGGAAAGCTCAGACATTCAATTATTTTGCTTGTCTACTGTTTTTTTCTTCCAAATCTTTAGGCCACATTTGGAATAAAAATCTACATATTTTATACATTTTATTTGTCAAATATACACCCAAAGAGTTTTATTAAAATTTTATGCACCAACTAATTTGACAACTGAAAATTTAGGTATCCCTTTAAGCTGCTATATCAGTTCGTGCATGGATTTTTTTTTTTTTTTTTTATATTTCTTTTGAGGAAGAGAATAAGAATAAATTTTGAAACAAAAAAAAAAAAAAAAAAAAAAGAGAGAAATTTATTTAAGATAAGGCATCCCCCTTTTGGTTTTACATTTCATGGGTAGTTTCCTTCCCACTGTACAGCGTAAGATCCCGACTTATGTTTTATAACCTACCACAATACTAAAATAAACGGGAAAACCTCATCAAAATGGTGACTGCTGATTTTAGTTTATCAACTCACAGCCAGCTACAAATAGCACAATTACATACAACTCCCGTCATGCATTCTTTATTCACCTAGTCCCCGCGTTTCCCTCTAACTCAACGCCTCATAATCAAAATGTTTGTTTTACTCTGTTCTTTCCCTGGATGATTTTCTAAAGGATACACCCGATTTTACATGATTAATCCATCCTACTTTTTCTGAATCAGTCTCTCTATAGCTATTATTACTATTATCTAACTTTCTACACTGCCTACTATTTCTGTCAGACTTTAGAAAAGGAGGAACAGTTACCTTACCTTCTGAACTCCCCAGCCTGCTACCCCCTCTGCATCCCTCCAGAACACTTTCAGAAGAGGAAACTGACGAAATTTCATCAGTAGTATTATACTTGCTTGTTCCGGCAAAACCTGAAGCATACCGGTCCAAATCAGAAAGGGGTGAGTGTCTCGAGTACATTGGAGAGGAAGAGGAAGACGAAGAAGTGTCTGAATCAGAATTCCTCCAGGAACTGTTCCAACCACGCCCAAGATCACCAAATATGTAGTCTGAGAATTCATCAGTGCCGGTAGAATCCCGTGTACTATCAGTGCTACTGGAACCCTCATCAGAGTTGCTGCTGATAAGGGAAGAACTGTCACTCGAGGAGTCCTCTTCTAAAATCCTTTGCAAGCGATGGCATTTTGTGGGGGAGTCAATGATGGAGGAACTGGCATCAACTCGCACATCAGGGGAGTGTCTGGAAGCAGATTTTGAATTGGATGTAATGCTCCTCCCATTGGTCCTGGAAAGAACAGGTTTATTTTTCGGATCTGAAGATGCCAACCTATTCCTTATTAGTCTCGGGGCCCTCGGCGAGCATCTGTAAGGGGAAAACTTAGTCAGACCTGCAATAGAATTGTTGGAAAAATTTCTATTTTATGCCAAGACATAAAGCTCCCAAAATATGTTACCTTGCATAGAAAAGCATATATGCCCCTTTTGCTAAGACTCTTTCAAGTTCGCTGGCCATTACCTACCAAATCATGGCCAAGACAATAAAAAAGACAAGTCAGCAATGGATCGCCATCAATGTTTCAGGACATGTTGAATAAAGCGGGCACATCAGACTAAAAGTGAAAACTTAGCAATTCCTGAAACTGTACAAGCTATTCGTTGAGAATGAACACATATTGACAACAATAAGATTCCATTGGATAGACAACCCGAGGCAACAACTATGAACAGGTAACAGAACATAGAATACACACATATAACAAACCCAAACGAAATTTTTGACAGATTAATAATCATATTGAACGTACCGTGCTATCATCAATCTTGAACCATTTATTCTGGAAATTTTTAACATAGCAGACATAGTGACCAGAAAATGCAGCATTCATGATATCCAAGTGGACAACAACTCCGTAAAGCCTATAGATGGGTGATTTATCACTTGTCCCACTCATATATGGAGCTAAATCCAGGATTTCCGGGAACCGAATTGGTTTATTGAGCTTTCCAAATTTACCTGACTGTAAAATCATAAGCATTAAGAAGTCAAGAAGAATACTCTGGCAACTTTCTAAGCATTTCCCTCAATTACAAATTATTACCTGAAATCGTTTTAATGCAATAGTAAGAACATTGGGAGCCTCAAGTATTTGCAACTTCTTCTTGGCCTTCTCATAGGATTTGCACCTGCTCAAAAATAAGACGGGCGAAGAGAAAACCTTACTTAGACTGCTATACCATTTCAGAAGAGGAAGAGCTAGAAAGAAGGAAGGACGGCATGACAATTTTAAGTTGAGAGTTCATCGTCTCATAGTCATAAGGCCATAGAGAGAAACCGGAATCCTTAATGCATTGCTGGAACAGTTTACTTCCTAAATTATATCGTATTAAAACTTAAGATTAATATATAAATCAACTATCATGTCACAGCAAAAGAATATCTTATTACCAAAAAGATTATA